GTTTAGCATTATGAACAAATATTCTAACGTTTGATAGTAAAAAACGCATAATGTCAAAGAAGTAATGAAACAAGCTCTAAAATGATGACGATACACAGAAACAATTCAAAAGAGTGAGACGGGAAGAACCAGGGAGACACCAATAATATGATATAGAAGCAACACAAATTGAAGAGACACCAAACCTCACAAACTGAAGAGAAATCAAGTAACATGAACTGTGGAGACACCCAACAACACAAACTGAAGAGACGCCAAACAACACGAACTAAGGACACGCCAAACAACACGAACTGAGGAGACAACAAACAACACGAACTAAGGAGACAACAAACAACACGAACTAAGGAGACAACAAACAACACAAACTGAGGAGACAACACGAACTGAGGAGACAACAAACAACACAAACTGAGGAGACAACAAACAACACGAACTGAGGAGACAACAAACATCACGAACTGAGGAGACAACAAACAACATGAACTAAAGACACACCAAACAACACAAACTGAGGAGACGCCAAACAACACGAACTGAGGAGACAACAAACAACACAAACTAAGGACACACCAAACAACACGAACTGAGGAGACAACAAACAACATGAACTAAAGACACACCAAACAACACGAACTGAGGAGACAACAAACAACACGAACTAAGGAGACAACAAACAACACAAACTAAGGACACACCAAACAACACGAACTGAGGAGACGCCAAACAACACGAACTAAGGACACACCAAACAACACAAACTGAGGAGACGCCAAACAACACGAACTGAGGAGACAACAAACAACACGAACTGACGAGACAACAAACAACACGAACTGACGAGACAACAAATAACACGAACTAAGGACACACCAAACAACACAAACTGAGGACACGCCAAACAACACGAACTGACGAGACAACAAACAACACGAACTGAGGAGTTCCAAACAACACGAACTAAGGACACATCAAACAACACGAACTGAGGAGACAACAAACAACATGAACTAAAGACACACCAAACAACCCAAGGAGACCCTCAACAACGAGAACTGAGGAGATACCAAACAACATAAACTGAGGAGTTCCAAACAACACGAACTAAGGACACACCAAACAACACGAACTAAAGACACACCAAACAACCCAAGGATACCCTCAACAACGAGAACTGAGGAGATACCAAACAACATAAAACCGATGAGACACCAAACAACACGAACTGAAAAGACACTCAACAACGCGAACTGAGGAGACGCCACACAACATGAAATGACGAGAAACCAAACAACACAAGTCGAGGGTGGTCGGGTGGCGCAGTGGTAACGCACTCGCCTTTCACCTAGCCGACCGGGGTTCGAATCCCGGAACGGACGTGAAAAGGTAAGGGGTCACCTACCCGACCACGTGGGTTTTCCCCGGGTACTCCGGTTTCCTGCCACAATAAGACCCCTCGCGCGCTTACATCCGGGCCAACAAGAGTGATTAGTATAAGATGAAATAACATGTTTTGCAATTGTTGTAAAATAAATAAGGTTTATATTTATATAAGTCGAGGAGACAACCAAACAACACGAACTGAGGAGACGCCAAACAACACGAACTGACGAGAAAGAGAACAACACAAGTCGAGGAGACAACCAAACTACACGAACTGAGGAGATACCAGACGATACGAAATTAGGAGGCACCAAGCAACATAAACCAAGGAGACACTGACACAAACAGTAAGAACTCCAGACACAACAAACAAGCAACATAAATCAAGGAGACACTGATACAAACAGTAAGAACTCCACAACCAACAGTAAAGATTAGTGGAGGGACTTTACATCAGGAAATCGTGCTGATACAGAAACTGAAAGAAAAATGAGGACGGGAAACACAGAAATGAAAAGAACAGTGGAGATCTTTAACAACAGAAAATAGAGGAAAACAAATCAAAACGAAAAACAAATAATAATTAAAGTGCGTGGAGACATTAAAAAGGACCCGTAGAACAGCTGGATCGTAAAAAACATTTTTTATTGACATTTACTTATTCCATTTGTTCACGTGATTAGACTCGACTGGCATCTGGTAGCTAGAATAACGACTGTCAAAGAAAGTACTGTTTACGTACGTGACAGGTAAGAAACTTTTATATCACACCTCACCACTAAGTCATTGTTTATTGATGTTTACTTCATAAACTATCATTACATTAATTACATTGTTTATTACAACATCGCTTATATCAGTTATTATAACGTTAACTACATGCCTCATAGGCTTCTTCAAAATTTATACCCTTAGCACCAGACACTAGTCCTAGAAGGACGAGACACCTTTATGATGTGGTTTAATTCCTTATTTGGGATTTGTATAATTGATTATTCTCTTGTATGTTCATCACCTTCATAATTTACTACAAGATAAATGTAATTAGTTAGTACAACGCTAACTGCATTAGTTATTACAAGATAATCTTCATTAGTTATTACAACATAAACTACATTAATTATTACAACTCTAACTACCCTAGTTATTACAACATAAATTACATTAGTTATTACAACACTAACTACATCAGTTATTACAACACTAACTACATTAGTTATTACAGCACTAACTACATTAGTTATTACAACACTAACTACATTAGTTATTACAACGCTAACTACATTAGTTACTACAACACTAACTATATTAGTTATTACAACACTAACTACATCAGTTATTACAACACTAACTACATCAGTTATTACAACACTAACTACATCAGTTATTACAACGCTAACTACATTAGTTATTACAGCACTAACTACATTAGTTATTACAACACTAACTACATCAGTTATTACAACACTAACTACATTAGTTATTACAGCACTAACTACATTAGTTATTACAACGTTAACTACATTAGTTATTACAATGTTAACTACATTAGCCATTACATTAACTACACTAGTTAAATGTTGCTTTATGACATACTATACATTTTCTACGCCAGGATATATCAAACAGAATATTACAATGTACCCCTTACCAACACCTTATAACATTATTGCCGTGTTTTTTTCTGATAATGTGATAAATTATGTCACAAACATTTACATTTGAATTTGCCAAACGCTCGCAAATAGATAAAATACTGATATCGATAAGTGAGTAATGGCACCGGCTGTAAGTATGATGGAATGATGTGATCAGTAGGACAGGACATGTAAGATACAGCAAAGATAATTCGGGCCGGGTTTAAGCATTGGGGAATGATGTGATCAGCAAAGAGAAATGGCACCGGCTGTAAGTATGGGGGGAAATGATGTGATCAGAGGGACAGGACATATAAGATACAGCAAAGAGAAATAGGACCGGCTGTAATTATGGGGGAAATGATTAGATCAGTGGGACAGGACATGTAAGATACAGCAAAGAGAAATAGGACCGGCTGTAAGTATGGGGGAAAATTATGTGATCAGTCGGACAGGACATATAAGATACAGCAAAGAGAAATGGGACCGGCTGTAAGTATGGTGGGGAATGATGTGATCAGTGGGACAGGACATATAAGATACAGCAAAGGGAAATGGGACCTGCTGTAAGTATGGGGGAAAGGATGTGATCAGTGGGACAGGACATGTAAGATACAGCAAAGAGAAATGGCACCGGCTGTAAGTATGGGGGAAAATGATGTGATCAGTAGGACAGGACATATAAGATACAGCAAAGAGAAATGACACCGGCTGTAAGTATGGGGGAAATGATGTGATCAGAGGGATAGGACATATAAGATACAGCAAAGAGAAATGGCACCGGCTGTAAGTATGGGGGAAATGATGTGATCAGTGGGACAGGACATGTAAGATACAGCAAAGAGAAATAGGACCGGCTGTAAGTATGGGGGAAATGATGTGATCAGTGGGACAGGACATGTAAGATACAGCAAAGAGAAATAGGACCGGCTGTAAGTATGGGGGAAATGATGTGATCAGTTGGACATGACATGTAAGATACAGGAAAGAGAAATGGGACCTGCTGTAAGTATTGGGGAATGATGTGATCAGAGGGACAGGACATATAAGATACAGTAAAGATAAATAGGACCGGCTGTAAGTATGGGGGAAAGGATGTGATCAGTTGGACAGGACATATAAGATACAGCAAAGAGAAATGGGACCGTCTGTAAGTATGGGGAAAATGATGTGATCAGTAGGACAGGACATATAAGATACAGCAAAGAGAAATAGGCCTGCTGTAAGTATGGTGGGAAATGATGTGATCAGTGGGACAGGACATATAAGATACAGCAAAGAGAAATGGGACCGGCTGTAAGTATGGGGGAAATGATGTGATCAGAGGGACAGGACATATAAGATACAGCAAAGAAAAATGGCACCGGTTGTAAGTATGGGGGAAATGATGTGATCAGTGGGACAGGACATATAAGATACAGCAAAGCAAAATGGCACCGGCTGTAAGTATGGGGGGAATGATGTGATCTGTGGGACAGGACATGTAAGATACAGCAAAGAGAAATAGGCCTGCTGTAAGTATGGTGGGAAATGATGTGATCAGTGGGACAGGACATATAAGATACAGCAAAGAGAAATAGGCCTGCTGTAAGTATGGTGGGAAATGATGTGATCTGTGGGACAGGACATGTAAGATACAGCAAAGAGAAATAGGCCTGCTGTAAGTATGGTGGGAAATGATGTGATCAGAGGGACAGGACATATAAGATACAGCAAAGAAAAATGGCACCGGTTGTAAGTATGGTGGGAAATGATGTGATCAGTGGGACAGGACATATAAGATACAGCAAAGCAAAATGGCACCGGCTGTAAGTATGGGGGGAATGATGTGATCTGTGGGACAGGACATGTAAGATACAGCAAAGATAAATAGGACCTGATGTTTTATGTTTGTATTTTTAGCTGCTTATTATTGAAGGTTTTTGAACAGATTTTTTCTACATTTTAAAGCCAACCCGAACTGCACACCAGTCTGCCATCATGATCCGAGAGAGATGGTGTCGGTATGGAGAAATCAACATCTTGCTGTATATAACAGTTATTATATTTGGAATTGGTTCATGGGTAGCGGTCAACGGTTTACTGATAGAGCTACCTGTGATAGTTCCACACCTGCCCGAGGGCTGGACACTGCCCTCCTACCTAATCATGATAATACAACCGGCGAATATCGGACCCATTGTCGTCACGCTGGCGTACGTCCGTACCAAGGACACTCTAAACGAGAAGGTTGTTATATACATTATTCTCACCATTGGAACACTCGCGTGTCTGCTGCTGTCGCTCTTCTGGAAGAACACCTCATTCGTGGCTGGCGAGGAACGCAGCACGGCTCTGTTGACATTACATTTCTTCCTGTCTATTGTAGACTGCACATCATCCGTGCTTTTCTTGCCGTTCATGTCGTTGTTCAAAGTTGAGTATATGACTGGCTATTTTATAGGAGAAGGGATGAGTGGGCTGATCCCGAGCTTGGTCGCCCTGGGACAAGGTGTAGGTAAGATATCATGTGAAAATGTCTCTGTTTTAGACACATCTACAAATCTTTCCTCGTTTGAAATCCAAACTGTCTACAAAGATCCCTATTTCCCGGTAGAGCACTTCTTTTTATTCCTGTGTGCGATGATGGTATTATGTGGAACGGCATTTTCTTTATTGAATTACTTACCGTATTTTAAAAAGGAACACGTCACATTGAATAATTCGGATGAGCGGAGCAGAAAATGCAACAAAGGAAACTTGGAACTGCAGAACCAGCAAAAAGTCAATAACTACGAAACCGTGGAATCGCTTCTACATGACAAAGAAAGCTTTGTAAAGTTGAAGGTGTCGTCAGCGCAGGGTTCGCTGAGTACCAAAACATTCGTGTACTTGTTGTGTCTGGTAGTGTGGATCAATGCCCTCACAAATGGCGTCCTCCCGTCCCTTCAGACCTACTCGTGTCTCCCGTATGGCTACGATGCCTACCATTTGGCAATGACACTTGCTAACATTGCCAATCCTTCGGCGTGTATTGTGGCTTTAATACTTCCGGTTCCTACCAGCCTCGTTATCAGCTTACTTACCTTAGTTGGAACATGTTTGTCGATCTTCATAGTGACCACTGCTGTCCAAAGTCCGTTTCCTGTTATGTATGACGACCCGGCAGGACCGTATATTGTTGTAAGTGTATAATGTATCCTGATGTATGACGACCCGGCAGGACCGTATATTGTTGTAAGTGTATAATGTATCCTGATGTATGATGACCCGGCAGGACCGTATATTGTGGTAAGTGTATAATGTATCCTATTTCTCCAATGTTAATTGCGATACATTCCCTTCAGGAAGTATATCTTTGAGTAGAGTTCCACAAAGCACAACCAGTAAGTACTTTATTCGTTATGTTTCGGAGGTTTTATTTGGCTTCGCTTTGTTTGATACCACCGAGAGTCGATGGATTCTATAATCTCGACCCAGAAACATTCTCCAACGATTTATTTTCGGCTATGTCCACCTATTTCTGATGTTTGCAAAGTATGACTCCAAATCGCCGCATCCAGTCTCTCCAATATATACATATCCCAGGTTATCCAATTCGGATGTCTAATTCCTCCACTTTCTCCCATAGAAATTGTCCTTGCATTTGTGCGGTTTCGTGGCTCATTCTCTGGAATATCCTCTTTTTTCTAGGCCAGATCAGATTTGTTCCTTGGTTATACTTAACGTGTTCAGCATCTCTCCTCTATTGCCGCGACATTGGTCGTTTTATCATCTTAACACTTTGCCGATCAATTTTCTGAAGAAACTGACAAAATGTTCAAAACGTCACGTATGTATTCCAGACTTGTTTTGCTAAAGAAAACTCCAGCAGCATCCATACATATCCTTGTATATTTGATACGAGTGAACCAATAATGAGATCTATAGAATAATCCAGACGTACTGTTTTCAAACTTTTATTCACTCATTAATTAACAGTTACATCAATCAAGAAAATGTCACGTGCTAATTTAACATCACGCGCTAATTTGAAATGATTCGCGTCCTCTTAAATGCGAGTCTCGGACAGACTTCCATATTCTTGATTGACAATGAATATAGCTATACTCAACACACAAACCATTATATCGATTCCAGGTAACGACGTGGATTTTGATGACTTTCCTTATGGTGTTCTCCAAGGTCTCCCTGGCAACGCTCTTTAGGAAACAAGGGAAAAGAGCCCTTCTTTGGTGTGGAGCTATGACACAGGTTGGCTCATTGTCGGGCGGTATCATCACATACCTGTTAGTCAACGTGGCTAAAACCTTCCACAGCGCGGCTGCCTGCTCATAACTTATAGACTCCATTCGACCAAACCTGGGGAAAGTTAGTGATGTCGTTATGGTGTATCGGAATGAGAGTTTGACAGTGCCCTTTTTATATAACACTTGATTAGGTCGACATAAACTTCACTGCGTCTAATTTAAAAGTTATCATTAATGGTTATTTTCTATCATAATACGATATAATATAAACTTTATTCATTTTACAACAATTGCAAAACATGTTATTTCATCTTATACTAATCACTCTTTTTGACCTGGATGTAAGCGCTTGAGGGGTCTTATTGTGGCAGGAAATCGGAATACACGGAAAAAACCCACGTTGTCGGGCAGGTGACCCTATACCTTTTCATGTCCGTTCGGGGAATCGAACCCCCGACGGCTAGGTGAAAGGCGGTGCGCCATCCGACCACCCCGAGTGGCATCTTTTTTTGTATACACAATTAACTATTCACAATGTCTATACAAAATCGGAACAGTAAAAAAAAAAAAAAAAAAAACTTGATATAAAGCGGACGTTTGTGTTGGTATGCTGATATTTTGTATATTAAGCGGACATTTGTGTTGGTGTGCTGATATTTTGTATATTAAGCGGATGTTTGTGTTGGTATGCTAATATCTTGAATATTAAGCGGATGTTTGTGTTGGTATGCTAATATCTTGTATATTAAGCGGATGTTTGTGTTGGTATGCTGATATCTTGTATATTAAGCGGATGTTTGTGTTGGTATGCTGATATCTTGTATATTAAGCGGACGTTTGTGTTGGTATGCTGATATTTTGTATATTAAGCGGACGTTTGTGTTGGTGTGCTGATATTTTGTATATTAAGCGGACGTTTGTGTTGGTGTGCTGATATTTTGTATATTAAGCAGACGTCTGTGTTGATATGCTGACATCTTGTATATTAAGCGGATGTTTGTGTTGGTATGCTGACATATGAATAAGTTTTAATGTAATAAATATCCGAGTCGGGAGATGTTTGCAATTAGAAAAGTCGTCACTTGAGATATTAAATGGGGGGTTCAGGCTATGTTAGGAGAACTCAATCATAAAGGTATAGAGAGATTGGCTGGTGTACGTGCACTCAGAAAAAGATGTAACCCTACTAATCAGCAGTTATTGTCAACTCTCGGTGACTAACGACAGACCATCACAATACTTTCATAAAATCATCGCAATTTTCTCCAAAACGTGCAACCGATTATCGCGATAAGATACAAAACCTGTTTAAGAAACCTAACGGGAAAATAGCTTAATTTGTTTTACATAGGATTGATAGTGGACAAGTTATATCACGTTAGAGAAGTTCACGACCTTCTATCTACATGATTAAGCATTCTTGTTTCGTGTGACCATTCATATGGTCCTCTTAACGGTCTGTAATGAACCTCTACACTTGTGTATGTGTTAACCTGTCATGGGAAGGTCGTGAGAGACCTTTATATGGAACCAAGTCACACTCGATACCAATTTCGACATCACTTTGTAAATCAAGCTACGTCACTATTTGATAGTTATGTAATGAAGGATATCCACTTTTGTATCATAAACTAACCCTGAGAATCATCCGCTATCTATGTATTATACAGCCAAAAACTAAATACATTGTTATAGGACGCGAGTTACACGAGTCTCACACATTTAAGAAGAATTTCGTTTAAAATGTTAGTGTATGCTAGACTTTTTAAGTTGTTTGTTTCACAGTTCAGCATCATGCCGATAATACTACCAAACAAAGTGATCATAATGGATTTTACATAACACCGAAGAAATCTCCGCCGGAACTCCTCGTGTTTCAGTATAACGTTATAGTACTCAAGTTTCATTTGTTCAGGGCTTATCATCTGTTAATATCGTTTCTGAACAAAGTAAATATTATATACCAATATAACTTTGCAGAAATTTCAGCAGAGAACTACTCGCGTTTCAGTACATACGAAATAGCCGTAGTTGCGTTTCATTATTTGCGATCCGTACGCACGGTCATTCTTTGACGGAAATACATTTTTATTCAGGCTCCTATGAGTTTTCACCTGGTTTCCGATGTAGCTGTCAAATGTGCAATATGCATCTGAACTTACATAAAATGACTGACTATAGCAAAATAACATCCGTGTTATTTTTATACCAATACCCCTGAAAAAAAAGTCATCAAAACATTTTCGCCTCCTTTGAATAAAGAGTCTTTTGACGTGTCGGTATTTTCTTGTCTTTGATCTGAATTTATTTCTCATTATATTCGTCGTTCCAAACACTTGCCAATTAATTTAGTCGCTTCATATCCTGACGTGGACTAATCTGCAGAATTCACACCCAGCCTGCCTATATTACGTGGATATTTTGCCCAAGTTCGGCATGCCATATCTCTCCAACAGGATTCCTTATCCGTAGACAGACCCCATGTCCTATATAACCAATCACAGAGGTAACATCTATGACACTCGTTTATTCAACGGTCCCGGGTTAGGTAGCAGTCATGAAGACTTCGTTGTTTCTCGGACTTTCGATATGTTTAGTGGGTATCTGTTCTGCCCATTTGTGTCTTCTGAATCCTCGACAACGAGGCTCTCTGACTGGGTACAACAAAGCGGCTGCCGACGACTGCTACCTGACAACGGGCGAGTGTGGCGGCAGAATGAGCGATTCTAACAACATGGCTTTCTTCAAACGTGGAATGAACTACACAGTTGTCCTACAAAAGAACTTGGACCATCATAACAGTACCGACCCCGGGTCCTTCGTTGTATCCCTCCACCATAACACCGACATCTCCTTTTATACCCGAACATTGGCGACCATACCTGACACTGATGCGCCCTCTCTGTCCTTGTACACGGCGGATATTTTCATCCCCAGTGACCTTCAGCTCAGTGAGAGCCCCGTCTTCGTCCTAGAGGTCGTCTACAACACTAACACCATTCCTATCGTCTTCCGGCAGTGCGCAGACATCTTAGTCCTCGCGTAATCCTGTCGATTGGATTTATTGCCTACCATGTAACACGTCACACTAATGAGTTTTAAACTTTACAAATTCATTCACAAACACATGTTATGATGATTGGAAAACAAGACTGAAGAATATCATAACCTATGTTTTTAATTCAAATATTTAACAGGAAATGGTCAGCCATTGGTGACATTTACCGCTAAATTTATTAAAGATGACAACCGGTTGTTTAGATGAGCGAAATATTATGGTTTTTCAATGAAGGATTACATATGTAATTTCAATATCAAATAAAAATTTTATTTCCAGAAGGGAATCACATGATTCGCCATTTTTTGTGGTGTTATCTGTGGCATTGTGAACGAGACAAGATTAGATAGTGTAATTCAATAGCAGAAGATCTGTGTTTTGATGTTTCTATGACGAGGATATCATCAGTGCGTGACAGGAAGTAAGTATTCAGTGGGGACAGCGTTCAAATTGCTCTCCATTTGATCGGATTTTAGGTATCCTGTAATATATTTACCAAACCTATTTACAGTTCTTAATTGCGTGCACTTGTAAGACAAACTGTCATTATCATGTAGGCTATGAAATGTCATCTATTTCTTCCCAACAGTCTTAATATACATTTGTACCAACTCGATACACCCGTGAGCCAGAAGGGTAGGGTAATATCTATTTACAACATTTAAATTCTTATGTTACAAAACAATTGAAATCCATTTTCAAAGGGGGCGGGACAGATTCCCAAGGGATCTTGGCGCCCTCCATTGGTTGATCTTCATCAGGTTTTCAAAAACTTGTTTTTTTCCTTTCGTTTTCATTGTATTTGCTCTCTTATAAATGAAGTTTGAATATTCTTCTTAGATATAATTATGTCTTCATCATCAAGACTATGGAGAATGATGGTCTGTGAATCTAACAATCAGTTGATCACGTACTACATAACCTTTATCTGTAAGTCAGTAGGTATGAAGCTCGAGCAGATGAACAGATCCAACCACCAACAAGAATACATTGGGTCCTTTCATTTATGCAGTTGTAACGGACAAACCGGTTGAACCAATAAAGGAACCAGCCAGTTTTGTCGAGTACTATGTTGTATTAAGTTGAGTAAATCATAATGATATGCTTGGCCATATTCTTATAGAGCTTGGACAAGAAATGATGGTTCCTGCAGCATCTATTTTTAAAGAGTAATTTAACCATTAATTCAGCTACACTCATAAATGATTGATACAAAACTTCTCTTTAATTTTATGCTGTGAAATGAAAAAAGTATCTCAATCACGTTTTTAGCGTAAAGTGAGATGAAGGAAATGGAAACTGAGAGGTTAGGCATTTTCTCTGATAAATAGATTATACACTTTGGTAGAAGTAGAAGCTGTGTACTGTATATATTAAAGAAACTTATTTCATAAACGAATGAAAATAATTAACAAAATTAATAGAAATTACAGCATTTTACCAAAACACACATTGTGATTATATACCACTTAATAAGATTTTTTTTTATAAAATTGAATTCAATTTTTCATTTCTCATTAGTGATGTCTTCCATCAACCACAATTCATATGACATACTATTATGGTCAGGAGAAAAGAAAATAGAATAGGACACAGATAAAAGAGGTTAGTTAAATAGAAAAAATATTTCTGATATAAAACAAATAAATGTAGAAATAACAATAAGAACAAATTTTATAAAATAAATAATCTTGGCTTCATATAAAATACATGATTATCAATTGATAGAATCTTGTCTACCAAAAGTAACATGTTCTTGCATTAATTGGAAACATCATTTTTCAATAATTTTTCTGAAAAACTGAAAAAATGTAAGCATTTTCATCTTTGCTATTTTACTACTATTATCTGTTTTGTCATACACTATGAAAAATCGAAAGATTGAAAATGTAATACACAAGTTTCTTATATCAAACTCAAAAAAAAATCATGGTCGTTGATTTAGGTATTTGCATGATTAACAAATAATTTTAAAATTAACTGACAAATTCCTCGAAGTATTTGCAGAATATGAATTTTTCAATGAACATTGGAATGGTTTGTTTTAATATTTAAATCATTAGTTGATAATTAACTAAAATAAAAACATTTGCACACTATGATGATTTATAACTGAATCAGAATATGAATACTGGCCTTTTATCCTTATCTATTATTTACTTTATCAAATTTCCTCACCTTGTTTTAAATTTGCAGGCGAGTTTATGATATAGAAAACAGTCTGCAAATGAACATTTTTATCACTTGATGAAAATGTGTAAAATCTGCAATAGATTTAGTGTCTTTTTGTAGTTCATAACAAAGTGATGTTGTTACAAAGTCATCATTATTGTCGATGTTTAAAGACAGTGTATCAGAGACTAGGAATCTTCCAAAATATAAATATCTAAAGTGAAATGTCTGGTAGAGTTTGTCATTGGTCGCTATATTGGAATGAATAGGCGGTTCGAGCATATTCTTTTATGCGAAACGAAACCGTGCCACCTGCGTGCCGTTATGACCAGATAAACGAAAGCGGATATGATGTTTCAACTGAAATAAAATCCGTGAGAGTTGTCTCCCTTCTTCCAGTCATAAAGATGTCGTCCATCGAAGTATCCTCAAAATTCCGAGGATTGTTATGATTACTAACGATGATTGTAACCTCTGGTATTTCAAGTGTGAACTCAAAATCGATACCAGGCTGTCATTATACGAACACAACAAATATCCAATAGGCGACACTTGGAAAGTACAGGCAGAGAAAATTAGATATTGCGGAAGAGTAAATGTTTTCTTTCTTCATTGACGTCACCCATCATGTAAATCAATCTAAACACATTTTCTTTCTGCAATGTTACGTTCTCAAATGAGCTCAAACTTAACAACAACGAAGGAAGTATACTTATGGACCTAAAACAAATCTAAGAAAGAAATAAAAATATATCATTATCGATAGTTTTTATCAACCTGCAGCTCTCGAATCCTTGTGTTATACAGCTCGGTAGAAAGCTGTAACTCGCGGTTTGTTGATAAAGGTCTATAGGTAAGCGGTGGATGATGAAAAGTCTATCGTGAACTTGATTTCTAATTCTGGTAGGCGTGCACGATGGACATAGCCAATAAATGTTTTCGTTGTTATTTCAAAACAAATCATCATCGAGATATCTAAAAGTTCAGACTTGGTGAGGTATTTGTTTTGAAAACTTTTTCTAAAAATCAGTCTTATGTGAAAATTTGAACAAGAGAGGAGCACAGTTTCTTCCAATTGTTATGCCAATACTTTGCTAGAAGATCCTACCACCAAACCCAATGAAAATATTGTCAAGCAGAAATCGCTCATTTTCACGATTTCATCTCCAATCTATTTCTTCTTGGCTTTAGACACATGAACTTTTCACGAAATAAGTCCCGGTTTATTTCACAACTAGATACACTGTGCTCCAGTTTCGGTATAGTTCACAACTGTACACCTCTGTATACCTTTGTTAAACGAAGACTATTCTCACAACCAGAAAATGAAGACGTTCCATTTGGAATCGGATATGTTAGTGACAAAGCCGGGAATAAATCATTTAAAAAATTGATTTGAAAGAAAATATGTCCAAAATTGGTAGGAAGTTCCTGAGCGTTCTTTAAAGCCAATATTCCTCTAATTCTACTCTCGAAGGAACATTATTACAGTAAGACCGTAAACCTGATTTAAGCATATTAAACGGTAATTATTGAATGGATAAAGGCTTATGTGAACAACTAGACGAGTGAGCAATAAAATGCTGTTGATATGGCTTTTTGGGAAGTATATAAATCTAATGTAAATGAGGAAGGTCCGTATCTTTACCAGCGATCCGAATTATTTTCTTATTGAAGTCCGTCTTCGAATAGATTTTATAATGCACAGAAATGCATACGGGTAAGTCCAGTTCTATTTATTTTGTATTAAGGAAATGTAATTATATTTATAGAAAAGGATGAAAACGACCTTTTACTATGTTAGTCGTTAAGTGCGGTCTTGCCATAGAAATCAACGAATACGTTTTACAGTGTATAATGGTCAATAAGGCTGGCTGTGACTTTGAAGCAGGTGAACTTTCAATACCCGTAGTTGTTCATCACTTGTAGCTGTAAGGCAATCCGTTCCCCAAGTTGTTGATAGCTAGTGGCATTGTAGTTAGCAGAGTATCAGTTAATACACACATTTAGTTGGTGGACTTGAAGTCCACGAGATTGTCCATAACCTTGTAGCTAAAGGACTATCAGTCCCCGAGGTTGGCCGTAACAATGTAGCTGTAGGACTATCTATCAGTCCCCGAGGTTGGCCGTAACAATGTAGCTGGTGGACTATCAGTCCTCGATGTTGGCCATAACATTATAGTTAATGGACTTTCAGTCAAGGAGGTTGATCGTAACCTTGTATCTGGTGGACTATCAGTCCCCGAGGTTTGTCGTAACCTTGTAGCTAATGGACTATCAGTCCCCGAGGTTGGCCGTAACCTTGTAGCTAATGGACTATCAGTCCCCGAGGTTGGCCGTAACCTTGTAGTTAATGGACTATCAGTCCCCGAGGTTTGTCGTAACCTTGTAGCTAATGGACTATCAGTCCCCGAGGTTTGTTGTAACCTTGTAGCTAATGGACTATCAGTCCCCGAGGTTGGCCGTGACCTTGTAGCTGGTGAACTATCAGTCCCCGAGGTTGGCCGTGACCTTGTAGCTGGTGGACTATCAGTCTCCGCGGTTGGCCGTGACCTGGTAGCTGGTGGACTCTCAGTCCTCGAGGTTTGTCGTAACCTTGTAGCTAATGGACTATCAGTCCTCGATGTTGGCCGTAACAATGTAGCTGGTGGACTATCAGTCCCCGAGGTTGGCCGTAACAATGTAGCTTGGTGAATGTCACCTTCCTTGTTGGTCGTATCCTTGTAGTTGACCGTAACATTGAAACTGGTAGATTATTAGTCCCTGATGTTGACGGTAACGTTGTTAGCTGTCATTCAGCGAAGTGGTCGTTAATT